CCCGTCTCCCAGGAGAGGGACAGGTTGGCACACTCCAGGCCAGGCTGACGCCCTCCACCCCTGGAGGCTGCAGCCACTGGGGGCAGACAGCCAGGAAGACAGCGTGACTCTCTCAGGCGGCCAGACCCTTTCTGGGGCCATTCAGTGCCCACCGGCAAACACGAAGCCGTCCTGGGGCAGGCAGCGGTCTCAACAGCATTTTTGTGCTCTGGGTTAGGTGACAGACCTTGGGGTTAAAAGTAAGCAAAGGTTGTCTTTCACAAAGACTTGGGTAAGAAAAGGCAGAAAGAAGGGAAACAGGCAAACAGCAATGAAATATACGCTTTGAGCCAGACTCAGCTTGTGGCTCGGGGCTGTTATCTCCCTAAATTCTCACACTCTGAAGAGAGCCTGATTTTTATTCCCATTTATCAGGTAGAGAAAGAGAGGCTGGAAAGGGTGAAGCCACCTGCCCAGAGTTATACTGCTAACAAGTGACAGAGGAAGAAGCCTAACCCGGAAAAATCTGACCATAAGGCTGTGGGTGGGATCTTGTCTGCACTTCTCAAATCCCCCTCCCCATCCCCTTCCCCAGAGCTGCCAGTGCTTCGGGATTTATTTCTCTGGATCCATGAGGCAGAGACTGGTCGGGCTCCCTGCTGTAAGGGTTCTTCACAGCTTGATTTGTCTCGGCTGAGAGTTTTGGCTAATTATCTTGCCTGGTTATTGTCTTTCTTTTTAATATTCATTTATCTAGCTATGGCAGGTCTTCACTGCAGCGCGCGGGCGTCTCTGGAGTTGTGCTACAGGGGACCGGCGGTTGCAGCACACAGGCCTGGTTGCCCCGAGGCAGGTGGGATCTTAGTTCCTAGACCAGGGATCAAACCCGTGTCCCCTGCATAGGAAAGGGGATTCTTAACCACTGGACCTGCAGGGAAGTCCCTGCCCAGTTGCTTTCAATTAGACCAGCAAGCCTGCTCTTTCTTCTGTAATTTTTAAGCAGACCCATGCCTGTCGCAGCAAACTTCTGGCCTAGTTTTCCTGCTGAAGTGTGGTGCCCAAGAGGAAAGGAGGGTGCTGACGGCTTCTGTGTCTTGTCTTCCAGTGCTGTGCAAAGCGTTTACTGTGCACTATCTAAATTCACGTTCATAACAGTCCCGCACGGCCAGCGCCCCTGTTACTGTTCCCATCTGACACATGAAGAGCTTGAAGCCTCAGTGAGGAAAAGTTGTTCATTTGACTCAAATCATGGAGCTGGGACCAAAAGATTCAATTGTCCTGCAAGCCTATGCAGGACAACCTCCGGGTCCCAAAGGTGGATGGGTGTCTGCAGCCTATCCTGACTATGCAGTTTACTACATAGATAAGGGATTCTTGCTCAGGTGGGACTCAGAATCCGGCGGTGGAGCCTGATGGGTAAATAATTACAGTGACTCATCCATTCAACCACGATTCATTTAGAGCCTCCCTGTGCTCAGCTGGGAATGTATGAAGTCTCTCGGGATCCAGGGGTGACACCCTGTGAACGTGTCTAACTTCTTGCTCGGGTTGTATGAGTGTCACTGGTTCACGAATCTCTCTCAAGCAAGGCAGACAGCAGTGTCTGGTTTAGTGCTATACCTGCCAAGCCCAACACACTGCTTGTCACGGAGTAGCTGTTGAATTAATGTCTATTGAATGACCTCATTTATAAATGGATCCACCCGCCCAACTCCTCATAATAGTCCCAAAGTGGGAGTACTGTTGAAGTTTGGCCCTGTAACTCCTGCATAAGTAATAAAAATGCAGCATCACAGATGAAGGGAAGAAGATCTTCTTAATATCAAGCATATAGGTCTTTCCAGAGAGACTGCCCCAGTCCAACCATTCCACATGCCACCGTGTTGCTTTTTCCTCTGTTACCTTCTCTCTCTCTCTCTCTTCTGTTAAAGCCTTCTGGGGCGCTCGCCTCTCTGCTCTGGTTGCCCTTATACCCTACCTACGAAGACTCTGAATCCTAAGCATGTTACTCACTCTTCTCTCAGAGTCACTGGGCTGACAGGTCCGGACTGGGGGAGCTCAGATGAGACACAGAGGCGAGAAGAGACTGGGAGATGAGGGAGAGATGGGAGATTAAGGAAGGAGATGAGAGAGGGGTTGACGGGCAATTTACGTGCTTTGTGTGTGGTTGCTCAGTCGTGTCCAACTTTGCGACCCCGTGGACTGTGGCCCGCCAGGCTCCTCTGTCCATGGGATTCTCCAGGCAAGAATACTGGAGTGGGTTGCCATTCCCTTCACCAGGGGATCTTCCTGACCCAGGGATTAAATGCATATCTCTTTCATTGCAGGGAGATTCTTTACTGAGACATCAGGGAAACCCTGATTAAAGAATATTGCAGTGGGTTGCCATGCCCTCCTTCAGGGGATCTTTCTGACACAGGGATCGAACCCGTGTCTCTCAGGTCACCTGCACTGGCAGTTCAGTTCTTTACCAGTAGCTCCACTTACATGGGAAGCCCTTATGTGCTTTGGAATCATATTTAAGGTTAACATACCAGCTTTACACCTTGACATTTTGCCCATCATCTTACAGTTAATAATTTTAAGTTAAACAAAAGGAATGCACCCTTATCTAATCGATCAATGGAGATAACGCTCTTGAAAATTATAAATAATAACGATCCTTTTCATTCATGGAGTATTCGTGTGTACCCGGAATGTATTATGCTCAACGGCAGATGGGGAAATTCATGAGAATAAAAAGATTACTCAATCTTAAGCAAAAGGAAGGACACTAGTGTCTAAGTTCTTCAGAAACTGCCATCATTATTTCCCACCCCACCCACCAATACCATTCACCCACCCCACTGGCTTGTAGAGAAAATGTGGCAGCCCTCTCGTATTTGGGAGAAAATCACCCACTCAGTTGCAAAGCTGAACCACATTCCCATCGGAAGAGCTCAGGGTAGGGTAATCACTGAATCCTCTCCCAGAGTCCCCCGGAGAGCCTGATTCAGAGCCGATTCTGCTCTAGAGGGCTAGGGATGACTATAAGGGCCCAGCAATGCCGCCCCTACCTCTGGGCACACCTCCCACCCACCCCCATTGGCTCATTCTGTTGTACCAGCGATGGTCAACTTCCACCTCTCACATCTCCACGCCCTGGCACATGCTCTGCCCTCTGCCTCTAGAGTCCCCTCCTCTTTGAGTTGAATGAACAGAGCATCTACTGCCTGCGGCCCTTGGCCTACCAGATTTTGTCCGGAGGCTTTCTCCCTTGGTCCAGAGCATTTAGCTCCCAGAGCATCCTAGAACATTTCGGTCCCATGTCTGAGATCCTTGGTGTACGTTTTCTGTTGCTGTAGGCACAGAGCCCAGAGGACTATTTTGGACAGAGCTTGAGGCTGTGAGTAACTGAACAGGAGTTTCAGAATGTGGACGAGCCTGGTGCAGATTCCAGGTCTGATCCTTAGTGACTGGAGAGTTTTCTGCCCTCCAAACCAACCTCAGACACTTCGTCTGTGAAAAACACCCACGCTGCCTGGTCATCGTGACGATGGTCTCTGATGACAGAGGTGAAGCTCAGACAGTCCGTGGTCTGGAGTAGAGACCCCACACACGTTAGTCCCCTTGCCTGGCTGTTCTGTCCGGTGTGTGACCGCCTGGCTGGGGGTCGGGGGAACTGGTTTCTCTCTAAAGAACTGGAAAGGGAGCAAGGCTGAGCCTCATAGTCGTGCGGGATGTTTCCTGCAGCCAGTGCGGAATGGCTCCAGGCGGGTCCACGGAGCAGTTCAGGAAGGGCCCCATCCTCGCGGACCCCCTCCACTGCCTAGGCAGGGCTCTGGCCTGGGGGTGACCGATGGGAGTGACAAAGACGTTGCTGCTCGGGCTCGGCTCCCTCGTCGCCCCTTCTGCCCTGCAAAGCCTTCTCGTTTTGTGAGCCTGTTGCTCTCCCAGGCCCTCAGAAGTGGCTCCTCTGTGGCCGGCCCTCCGCAGCCCCTTTCTTTCTATTTTTGCAATTTATTTTTATTTATTTGGGTGTGCCAGGTCTGAGTTGCAGCATGCGGGATCTTATTCCCTGCCCAGGGACCAAACCTGGGCCTTCTACATGAGGAGTAAGGAGTCTTAGCCACTGGTAAGGGGCAGAGACGCCCTCAAGGATTATGGGAATGTAGAGACTTGGCAGTTCTTCATTCATCCACTTCATTCATTCCCTTTCTAAATATTACTGAACAGAAGGTCCTGGGCTAAATAACCCTTAACTAGACAAAAAGGTGGGAGCCAGGGTACCTTACTCTGCCCATCTCAGCTTCCTCACCTGGTCAGGGCCTGCCAGCTCTCTCCGTTCACCGCCCCTCACCTGCACCCCACGCCCTCCACTCAGTCTCCATGCCTCTATCTCAGGCCCTTAGAACAGCCTCTTCACCCTTCTGCCTAATCCTGGTGCACTGGATGTTCTCTGAGTCACCTTTCAAGAATGTCCATTTTGATCTGTGAGCCTTGGCTCTGCTGTTTCCCACTGGGAACTTGCATTCTATTATATTAATAATTTCCTTTAAAAGAGCTCACTTATTTTTTTTTCCAACTTGGTCTTCCTTCAAGCAATATTATCCATGAAGCAAAGATTGGAGGCTAGTTGGGTATCATACCAGTGTGAGTTTTAAAATATAAGTAATACAATGAAGAGTGTTTGTTCCTATGACATGTAAGGCTTTCAGGCCTAAGTACTATGCTCCTTGGGCAACGCTAGCCCAGGAAAGACCATCAGCACTCATTTACTTAGGGGCTCTTTATCCAGCAACTACCGTGTGTCAAGGAGTATTGGGGATACAGTTTTAAAATGACCAAATCCCTGCCCTCCTAGAGTTTCTGTTCTAGTGATACAATAGACAATAGAAAAATAAGATAGATGAGTCAAATGTATGCATGCTTTTAGTTGATAACAAATAATAAAAGAAAAAAAAAAAAAACAAGGTGGGGGGTCAGGAAAAATCCAGCTGTAGTCAGACGGGTGCGGAGACGCTTCTGGAAGTAACATCACGATGGCTGCCCAAGGAGAACCCCAAGTTCAGTTCAAACTTGTTTTGGTTGGTGATGGTGGTACTGGAAAAACCACATTCATTAAGCGTCATCTGACTGGTGAATTTGAGAAGTATGTAGCTGCCTTGGGTGTTGAGGTCCATCCTCTTGTGTTCCATACCAACAGAGGACCTATTAAGTTCAATGTATGGGATACAGCTGGTCAGGAGAAATTTGGTGGACTGAGAGATGGCTATTATATACAAGCTCAGTGTGCCGTTATAATGTTTGACGTAACATCAAGAGTTACTTACAAGAATGTGCCTAACTGGCATAGAGATCTGGTACGAGTGTGTGAGAACATCCCAATTGTGTTGTGTGGCAACAAAGTGGATATTAAGGACAGAAAGGTTAAGGCAAAGTCAATTGTCTTCCACTGAAAGAAGAAGCTTCAGTACTATGACATTTCTGCCAAAAGTAACTACAACTTTGAAAAGCTTTTCCTCTGGCTTGCTAGAAAATTGATTGGAGACCCTAACTTGGAGTTTGTCGCCATGCCTGCTCTTACCCAGCCACAGGTGGTCGTGGACCCAGCCTTGGCAGCACAGTACGAGCACAATTTAGAGGTTGCTCAGACAACTGCTCTCCCGGATGAAGATGGTGACCTGTGAGAAAGTGAAGCTGGGGCCCAGTGTCAGAAGTCTAGTTTTATAGGCAACTGTCCTGTGATGTCAGTGGTGCAGCGTGTTTGCCACTTTATTATATAGCTAAGCAGAAAATGTGCTTAATCTTTGGATGCTGAAGGAGATGGATGGGCTTTGGAGTGAATGTGGCTGTTTAAAAAAAAATACCTTCATTTTTTGGACCTGCATATTTAGGTGTTTTGGAACACAGTTGTTTCCTCCTTGAGTTTCAAATATAAGACTGCTATAGTCACATGACGATATTGAGAGGTGGAATCTTGTTTGTTACTGTCATTCCCATTCCTTTTCGTTTAGAATCAGAATAAAGTTGTATTTCAAATATCTAAAAAAAAAAAGAAAAAAGAAAAATCCAGTTGTATTAAATAAGCTTCTGATTGTGTTTTCAGCTCAGCTCCCTCTCATCTCAGGCTCTGAAGATGGTTCCCACAATGCACTGTGTTCATAGTGCCCACAGTACACTGTGTCTGTAGTTCCCAGAATGCTCACAGGGCTTATCGTTCCCACAGTGCACCACGTCTGTAGTTCCCAGAATGCTCACAGGGCTTATCATTCCCACAATGCCCCACGTCTGTAGTTCCCAGAATGCTCACAGGGCTTATCGTTCCCACAGTGCCCCATGTCTGTAGTTCCCACAATGCACTGTGTCTCTAGTTCCCCCAGTGAACCATGGCCATTCTCCCACAATGCACATGTGGTTGTATCTCCCCACCGTCACTTGTTTGGTTGTTTTCTGCCAGGACCACCCTTCTCACATGTGCCTCTGGTTAAATCTGCTTTGTTTTCTCAAGTCCACGCGAACATCCTTCCCTGATGCCTGCTTCCCCAGCCCCTAGAATTAAACCTATCCTCCTCTGGGGACCTTGGGCCACGTCTGTAGTAGCCAGTACTTGTCTGGCCCTCCCACTGGGCCCCTTGAGGCTAGGATGGTTCCACCTTCATACGTGCTTCCCCACCCACCAACCAGAAGGACCACAGCATCCCTGACAGCCCAGAAGTCTCCCTACGCCTCTGCTGTCCTTCTTGGGAATTCTTAGCCACACCTTGGTGTTTATGGGTGGTGGCTTGTGTATGGGGGTGGGGCGTGGGGGTGGGCAGGATGCCCAGCCCCTCTCTCTTATCATCTCGGCATCTTTTGGACAGTGCCGCCTCTTTTGAAAGGTTAGAAATGAATAATTCTATAGCAACGTGTCATTTAGAAAGTACATGCCCTCCCCCAGTTCTTCTCCCTGGTGAAGATGAAAAGACAGCGAAAATTAGGAGAGCTTCACCCAGCAAGGCAGGGCAGGTGGTGTGACGTTCACTGGGACAAACCTGCAGTGGCGTCCTTTCCAGAATCTGGCTACATGGACCCAGCTCCCAGGTTAATATTCTGTGCTTTCTCCAGGCTGTCTCCTCCGCTTCTTCACACTGTCCCTCCCCTAATTCCAGTCTCAGCTCCTCTCACCTGGGCCCCAGGATGCCCCAGGCTGGGTGGGAGGCCCATAAGAGACAGTACCCCATGACTGTGAGATCATGTCTCACACATCCCAGAGATAGGGTCCTCCCGTGCTTTCGGCCAGAGGCCAGGGCAGTGGGACCAGTATCCCTCAGCCCACTCGAGACACCATCACAGTCAGCATCTTCTCCAGGGAAACAAGTTTTCACATGTAACCACGAGCCCTTGTTTCATTGAGTAAAAGCCTCTTTCTTCCATCATTTCATTTATCTATTAATGATTTACTGACCACCTGCTACATGCCCTGTATGGCTCTTAGCACTGGGAAGTCGCTTGTGGACATAGCTGACAAGCTCCAGTGTTATGGAACCCGCCTTCTAGGCACGCGTTAAATGAGCAAATACATAGTACAACCACACATTGTGATCAGGACTATGGAGACAGTGTGGGGAGTTCATGGGGCCTCAGTGAAGTTCTGAGCTGATAGAACCTGAATCACACAAAAAACCCCATACTGTTCGGTGGCTTTGGGTAGGAAGGTTGGGGGTGTGAACATGATGAAGGGATATAGGAACAGGATGTGCAAACTCCTCGCCTCGGAGGGAGCCTGGCACCTTCGTGGAGCAGAAAGGAGGCCAAGGGGACTGGAGCTCATCAAGGAAGGGAGAGCGCAGGTCAAGAGCAAGTTGGAGCCAGAAGGCCTGGTAGGGACTTGGCTTTTATTCCTAATGCCCAGGAAAGCCACTGGTGAGTTTCAGATGGAGAAAGACCACAAGTGGATGCTCAGCCTGGGGGTTGCAAGGATGCTTGTAAGAACATAGAATGGATGGAATTCTTTTTTTTTTTTAAGTATAGTTGATTTGCAGGGTTGTGTTAATTTCTGCTATACAGCAGAGGGGTTCAGTTATACACACACGTACTCTTTTTCGTGTTCTTTTCCATTATGGTTTAGCACAGGATATTGAGTATAGTTCCCTGTGCTGTAGAGTAGGACCTGTTGTTTATCCATTCTGTTTGCATCTGCTAACCCCAGCCTCCCCCTCCACCCCCTCCACCCCCTCCCACCCCTCCCCCTCGGCAACCACAAGTCTGTTCTCTCTGTGTGTGTCTGTTTCTGTTTCATAGATAGTTTCATTTGTGTCGTATTTTAGATTCCACATATCAGTGATATCATATGGCATTTGTCTTTCTCTTTCTGACTGACTTAGCTTTAGTATGATCATCTCTAGGTTCATCCCTGTAGCTGCAAATGGCATTTTTCACTCTTTTTATGGCTGAGTAATATTTCATGGTATATATGTACCACATCTTCTTTACCCAGAATGGGAAGACTTTTTAATCTTTCAAAATGACATCTGGGGAGACTTCTGTCCTTTCTGCCTGGGTGTGGTGGGGCTCTGGAGTCCTCCCAAGGGAGTCAACTCTGAGTCTGTGCTCCCCCTGCCAGGGGGCCCCAGCAACTGGTACCCTGAATCCGAGTCTCACAATGGATGAGGACCAGCAGAGCCTGGAGATCTTCGGGATGGAAAAGGGGTTTCCATAGTGTGTTGCTTGCCAATAGGGTTGGGCAGCCTCTTGAGATCACACAAGCTCTCTGTGTTCCGGCCTGGCAGCCCTGCTGGGGCCTGACCCCTAAATTCCTCTGCATCCCCAGGGTCCAGCGGCTCCTTGTTCCTTCCCCAGAGGCTGCTGAGGGTCACTGACAGGGTGAGAGAAGGAGCCAGAACCCTGGACAAGAATGAATAGGCAGTTTGAGTGCCCACAAGTGCCCAGCAGAGACTTTCCTGAGAACAAACGGGCCTGGGAAGAGAAGCCCAGGCGCTGCAGGCTTCCCCCATCACAGGAAGAAAGGGGAAAGCATCAAAAGCAAAGAAAATGGGCTCAGACCCCAGAGAGGTCCCCTCGGAGCAGCAAGGACCACGGCCTTGTCTGCGAGCCGTGTCCCTGGGAGACGCCTGTCTGGGCTGCTCCCAGTGGGGCAGGGGTCTGACGGTCCTGGCAGGGCCCATCTCAAGGTGCTCTCTGGAGCTCAGCGCGTTTTGTGAGTAGATGGCACGCATGTGGGGACCCCAGAGCTCACAGCCCACGCTGACATTAACAACCACAAATAACCCCGCACACTGCCCCCTGCCCCCAGAGGTCAACTGCCCTTCTCCTTTCTTAGGGAAATGTAGGTATCTCAGAGACTGGAGCCTGGGGGCTTCCAGGCAGCTGAAACAGACAGAGGAGCCACAAAGCAGTACAATCTGGTTTATCTGTTTCAACCAAGGGTCCCCTTTCCTTGTCCTTTTAACATCTTAAAATGCTAGTGCTACTGAATTACTTGTGGACATCAAAGAAGAGCTTAAAGAGGAAAAACAAAGAAGCTGCACCCAAAGACAAACACTCGAATCCTGGTGGGAAGACCTTCCAGCCACTACTCGATACCTCTCTACGTCTCGAAAAAATAGCATCACTATCACATAGTTTTATAGTCTCCAGTTTTCACTAATAAGAACATTTTCTCATATCATTAGCATTCTTCTTCAACAGGATAATAGCTCATATTTGTTGAGAGCATAAAATGTGCCAGGCTGTGTTCCGCACGTCCATCCACCCGGACACCAAGGGAGACCAGCGGACACCATGGTAAAGAGCTCACCTGCAGTCCAGCAGAGACAGCCTTGCTAGGTCCACCCAAGCACAGCACAGTCCCCACTGTGAGCACTGTCCTTACACAGGGTGCTTTATGCTTAGTACCCCTATAGCCGGTGAAAATTGTCCTTTAAAACCTCCTATGATCACTATTAGGGCTGTCTCTGTAGTTTTTTTTTTTTTTAAGATGTATTTATTTTCTACTTGTGCCTGTACTGAATATGCGCCGCTGCTCATGGGCTGTGGGCTTTCTCGAGTTGCGGTGCGCCGGCCTCTCGTTGCGGGGGCTTCTCTTGTTGCAGAGCCCAGGCTCCAGGGCCCGCCAGCTTCAGTAGTTGTGGCTTGGGGGTTCAGTAGCTGCAGCTCTCAGGCTTAGCTGCCCCACAGCCTGTGGAATCTTCCCAGAGCAGGGTTCGAACCCATGTCTCCTGCATTGGCAGGTGGGTTGCTGACCACTGGATACCCAGGGAAGCCTTCTGTAGGCATCTTTATTTCCTCAGGATAATTTCTGGGAGAATGAGGCAAAGTGTGGGCCTCGTATTTTTATTTTTATTCTGAAATAATGTCAGAGTCACAGAAACATAGCAAAAATAGTAAATAAAGCCCCATGCAATGATCATACCTTAAATAACCACAGTATGATAGCAGAGTCAGGAAGCTGACTCTGGTGAGATGCTAGCAGCTGAACTAAATGCCTTATTCAGAAAGCATCCCTTTCCACACTCACTGTTTTATGTTTGGTGTATAGTTCTGTGACAGTTTATCCTGGCTATAGACTCATGAAAGTACCAGTGGGGAGAGTTTTAAGGCATACTGTCTAAATTTTGCCTAGACTGTTTGATGAGAATCATGCATTTGAGGGTTGTACCCACTGGGTGCTGGCGAACAGACGTGGGAA